TTTTGTTCCAATTTTTCCTTTACAGGTGTTTAATACTGAAAATGTTGCTCCAGTATCCACTAAAAATATAACTTCTTTTTCTCCCAGCTTAATTACAACCAGAGGCTCAGCTGGGTTCCCCTCGAGTCCCCTTCAGTCATCTAGCATCATGATTTTAGCCATTTCTTGTTGAGCATTTCCCTTTCTAGGGCAGTCTCTTTTCCAATGTCCCTCTTCCTTGCACAAAGCACACTGATTCATTCCTAGGGGAGTGTTAAAATTCCTGCCACCACCGTTCACAAATCCTCCTCTTCCACCGAATCCTGAACCTCTCCTCGTCCTCTATTCACTGTTCCTGTCATGACTGCTAGCAGCCTGTTTTTCCGAGACTTTCTTTCCTCCTGTTCTCTATTGTTATACACCCTCCAGGCTGCTTCCATCATCTTATTCAAATTCCTAGAGTCTTCTGCCTCTAATTTCTGAAGTTTCTTTCTTATGTCTGGTGCTGATTGTCCCATAAAAATCAAAGCCAATTGTATTTGTGCTGCCTCAGTTTCCACCTTTAAATCAGTATATTTCCTGGCAGCTTCCTTCTATCTCTCCAGAAACACTGAATTTTATCCTGCCTTACTTCATATAATTTAGACCAATTCAAAGACTTAGGCATGGCATGTTTAATTCCATACAAAATCCATTTCTGATACCGACTCAATCTCTGTCTGTGCTCCACATTATTTGGATCCCACTGTGGATCCCCAGATGGAAAATTCTGTTCTAAAGTTCCAGTCGTATTTTCATTCAGAACTGCCGCTTCAGCCTGTGCTTTACCTGCTTTCAACACCATTTGCTTTTCTGTATCATCCAATAAATTATCTAAAACCACCTGCAAATCACTCCAGTCTGGGTCCTGCGTTCTAATTAGAGTATCCACCACTCTTCCTACTCTTTCCAGATCTTCTCTATAAAGTCCGGCTGCCTGTTTCCAAGCCATCAAATCGGTAACTGAAAAAGGCACCTTTACATACACCGGCCCATCGTTGCCAACTCCCTGCCGCAGGGGAGCTGTTGTGTGTGTCTGCTGTCGAGTTCTCCGAGAAACAGGGGTATGAATTACAACCTCAGAGGGACCCTCCTCAGCAACCTCAATACCACTGCTTTCTGTTCCTGACATTCTCGACCCCGATTTCTTTCTCTCCTAGGAGGAGATATATCTCATTCTGGTCCCTCATCAGCTTCAGGAATAATCCTCTTTTTCAAACAATCCTTTCCAATATCACATGTTGTACAACACTTTTTCTCCTTTTTATTCCCTGTAGCAACAGCCAATATCAGACCATTTCCATCAATCAGTCTGCACTCCTTCTGCCAATCTTTTCTTTGCCTTAAATAGAAAAACAAATCTACATAAGGTATTTCATCCTATTTCTCTTCCCTTCTACAAAACAGCATTAACTGAAAAATAGTGTTATAATTCAAAGTACCATTCACAGGCCATAATTCTTGGTCTTCTAACGTGTATAACGGCCACCAATGATTACAATATTCAATCATTTTGTTCTTTCGCAAATCATCTCCTATATCTCCCCAATGTGCTAACAAACATCCTAACGGAGAAGTTTTCGGGATTTTGTCATTTGTAGCCAAATTACTCATACTTTTACTTTTAAACAAACGAGTTAACTTAGATGCCATGATATAATTGTTTTACAGTACAATATACAATCACTCAAACCTGTCGCTTTGTTCTTCTCCAACTGCACCCCTTGCGGAATAGCAGGACCACGGATCCGAACTCTGCACTCGCTTTGTGTTCAGTTGCACGTCTCTCTCACGGTCACACTCGCACAGTTCTACAATTATTACTTTGAATACAAGTATGTAACACAATAAACACAAAACTCAGCGCCTCAGTACCCAGTCAAGACAAACAATTCCACAATATAGCACACAAGAAAACTTCTAACTTACGTTAGAGGCGCAACTTATAGAACACTATAGCTAGCATATAGGTTCCAAGTCTCCGCTATGTCCAACCCTGCAATAGCTTTCGCTTATGACTTACAGGCAGATGCCTAGGCTTCCACTCCATGAGGATCCTCTGCCCAACCCTGCGCAGCTTTCACTGCGACTGACAGGCAGGCTACAGCGAGGGGACTCGAACCCACTCGCAGTGGGACTCGAACCCACTTTCCAGAGGCGAGACTCGAACCCCCTCTATGTGGTGGGACTGGAACCCACTCACAATGGTGGGACTTGAACCCACTCGTTTAAAACAAAAGAAGTGTCTTACCCAAAATCCAGAGGACGTCACGAAGAACCTTATGGATCAGGGATTGATGGGTGTCCCCGAGAAATCCTCG